TCCCTCAATCTGTTCCTCTCTAATACTGTCCCTCCATCTCTCGTTCTCTCTCACTCATTCATATGTAGGTTCTCTGTCTCCTCCCCCTTTGCTGTATAGAAGTAAATATAGCAAATATTTTCCCATTTCCAGACATGTGAGACATGTTGTGAATTCATGAACGGTGATAAAAGAAAACTATACGATTCTTTTGATTTTTTTTTTGTCAAAAGAAAAATGATTCCCCCAAATGTATAACTCATATTCAGTGTAATTTTATATCTCAGTCTTGCCTTTTTAGTTGTGGCAAATTGTTTAAGGCAAATTAAAATGAATTTCTCTTCATTCCCACAACAACAACTATATTTATTTTCTCTTATCAGACTGATGCACCGGCAGTGTGTGATTAGACTGTAGATAAGGAGAAACGTTTCATCTCTCATTCTTTTTCCTGGTTTACATCTGATTTAATCCTTTATCCTGTCTCCTGCTCTCTCACAAAATCCTCTTACACGTTCATGTTCTTGTCTATAATTTTTCATCCTGTATTTCCATCCAACACCATTTATTGGTAACACTTTAGAATAATGGTCCGTTGTTTACAAGTAACTATGCAGGAAGTAATAGGTAGTACTACATTAACACTTAACTTAATGCTATTAACTAATAGAGAAGCAAGATTCTTAGGAGGTGATTGAATTAGTTCACAATTATGAGCTGTGGTTTGTGTCAGTTCAGTATGTCTCCGATTCCAAAAGACCTATACCTTTAGTGACAATAGGCTGGGGAGGACTTTTCTTGAATATAAATAATGATGTTCTCTTGACAAAAACAATTCACATCCTTAATGATGGCATCGACTGCATTTATATTGTGTTAAGCACAAAACCGCATATTCCAGATTACAGTGTCTGGTAAAATATCACTAGTGCCTCACACAAATGTATGTGTTAAGTGAATTTTCATTTTTATTATTATTCTATGTTTAAGTTTGAACATCCATCCTTTGATAAGAGTAGTAGTCACAATTTAAACATGTAGCCGACTTATTTGGGGGATATCATATTCATAAATTAGTTTCCACAAAGAACCCAATTGTTCACTTTTAAGACGTTACTGTTACGCCCCTGGACTCATTGTGTTGTGTTTTCCCTCCCCAGGTGTGCCGTGTTCCCTTTAATTAGACATTCCTTGCACCTGTGTTTTCCCAATCACCCAGTGTTTAAAAGCCCCAGTCCTTTCAGTCTTACTGCTTAGTTAATCTTGCTTCTCTATTAGTTAATAGTATTAAGTTAAGTGTTAATGTAGTACTACCTATTACTTCCTGCATAGTTACTTGTTAACAACGGACCATTATTCTAAAGTGTTACCCATTTATTTATATTGTCACATCTATATGGGTCATTTGAAATAAAGTCAATAACCTTCTCTAAATGTTGCTTACCTTTTGTTGATGACTCTAAGAGTTTGTTTTTATTAGTAGTAGTAGTGGCAGTAGTAGTAGTAGTAATAATAATAATAATACATATATAATAATAATAAATAACATTCTTACAAGATTAGTCATTTGTGGGAAAAGTGCCATTATCTTTTAATTGTATTGCTATCTTTGTTGCTTATTTTGATGTTTTTTTGCATCTAGGTTCATCACAACTTCCATATATCACTTGAAATGTCTTGCTAAAAACACTTTTTGAATAAGTTTTGGAAAATTGTATGTATGCTGGTTAGTCAAATGTTAAAAATCTAATACAAAATCTTTTTTTTTTTTTTTTTTAAATTTGCAGTTCAGAATCGTCAACAACA